ACTTTAACTTAACTACACACACACACACACACACACACACACACACACACACACACACACACACACACACACACACACCACTAATCACTCTCTCCTGGGACTATATCCCACATTGAAAATCTCTGAGCAGTTTCATATACCTACCATTTAAAATGTAACTTATGGTAGTGTTCTTTTTCTGGTTTGGCTTTGCAGACAACACATTCAACATACAGTATGCAGTGTGTGAAAGTGAGTTTATATAGTGAAGACAGGAAAAAGAAATTTAAGTTCCTGATAGGCTGAGAATTTTTCTATTAAACAATTAAATTTTCATAAACAAAGTAAAAGTACATCAGAAAATATTTTATCTTTATAATACAGAAATATCAGTCGGCACTTGTATTTTACAAAATACTTGGCAAATATTAAAGTAAGTCTTGCAATTTTCTGTAAGTCATAATGCAAAGATATTTTTATTGTTACCTCTGAAGCCTCTGTACAAGCTGCGACACCATTGTATCTGAAATGCCTGGACAAGCCTCCTCAGCTAAATAAATAGCTTCTCTCAGTTCTTCTATGGACCCCATGTTGTCACCATATGCCTGACTTTTCTCTTTCAACTAAAAAAATGGTAAAACTACATTAACAATGTAATTATCTGCCAAATATTTGAACATGTAATATTATGTATTGATTTCTATGTTTCCACAGAGCTAGACTCCTGAGAATTAGTACATTCATTTTTTTTAAATGTTATCATAAAAAGTCTAGCTATAGAAACACACTATTTGTAACGTGAGATTTTTATCACAGGCCACTAAAAGAGCAGGCTAAGCATTCACAAAAATAAAGTGGTCATGTGGGATGTGAAACCCCCAACCCAAGAAACCAAGGATTATCTGAGGTCACCGGCAATTCTATTTTCCAGATTTTAGAAAGGTGCTGTTGCGTACAAAGTAAGAGTTAGTCTTACTAATTTTGTACTACACTTTGTACTTTCATAGGACCTTCCATGTGAGGATTTCACAGCACTTTAAAATGTTAGTTCGCTGAGTGTCTGTTACACAATAACTTTGAACATTGCAGCTGACCAATTCTAAAATTTCAGTGAATGTTCTAGGTCTCGCTGGACAGAATCCTATTTATTTTGGTTCAAATCAGAATACTGGAAAAAGCCTAGGTCAGAGGAAAATCAGGTCCCCCACACTCCCTGATGCTGCAGGAATGGAATCTGCTGCTGCCTACACATGAGAAGCAGCAGCTTAACTGGCGGCATTGGGAGTGTCTGTAGGCTGGATTCTAATAGGAATCAAAGAATCTTACAGACAGAGTGTGTAAGGAGCTAAATGGAGATAAAAGAGTGGAGTAGCAGGGAACACATGAGGGAGAAGTGGAAGCAGGAGGGAAGAGAGAGATGAGGCAGTGGTGATGGGGGGAAACAGGGACCCATAGGGGAGTGAGGAAGTGGACTTGCTCTTAGGGGGAAGAGAGGATGACTAAGCAGAGACCCACAAGGAAATCAAGTGGTGAGGAGTGGTGGTGATGGGGGATGCAGGAATCCAGAAGCGGGGAGCCAGGTGTGTGGCTGTGAAAGCAGGAAACCAGAATAGGGAGAGTGGAAATTGGGGAGGGGAAAAAAGCAGGGCCCCAGAGGGAGGGCAGAAATGGGATGGGGAAACTGCAGTTCTGGGAAAGGGGGGGGATACACACACACACAGTGCCCCTGCCATGGGAGAAATGGGATGAAATACAGTCCATGACATGGGGGTGGGAAGAAGAGATGGGAACAGACAGAATCCCTGGCATGAGAGATGAGGGGAGGGGAGCAGCAGGGAGCCCCTGAAATAGAGGGGCATAGGAGGGTGGCACACAGGGAACTTGTGGAGGGGAACAGAAGAATGGAAGGAGCCTCTGGAGTGTGCAATTCACTCAGCCTACAAGCGTCCAACCCCTAATAAATTTAAGACCCAACATCCCCATGAGGAAGGAAAATGCTATTCACCATTTTACAGAGGAGACTGACAAGTCGACTCTCCGCTGAGTCTGAATAAGCTCTGGTGCAGAGACCATTCTTCTGGGTAAGTATCTGCTCTACTGTGTTCAATATGCTTGCTACATGGCATGGAAACCTTCCAGGAGCCTCCTCAAGACTGGGGCTCCTTTGATTAGGAAAATACTTTTGGAGCCCTCTGTTTTTTCCACCCACAAGGGAAGCACAGTTGTAAAGATTGAAACGTGGTTTAAAAGAAAATCTTGTCCTTATTCTACAGTAATGCTAGGGTAGGAAAGGACTGCTTAATAATATCAAATACAGTTCTATAGATTTTTTTTAAAGTAACTGACTCTATATTATGTCTGTATTCCCCTTCATATGTAAATACACTTATAAAAAATTAAAGAACCATTCTACAGAATATCTGCATAAAATAGTTTGTTAGATTCCAGTACAAGTTCAGCATTTATACTTCAGGGCTTTGAACCTTTTAAACTCTCTTAGCTTAGTCCACCAAGCAGAAGTTGGGGAGAAGTGAGGAGCTGAATGCAGATTAGACAAAAAGACCCAATAATAGGAAAAACTGGTGCACTGCAGTCCAAGCAGTAACACACACCTCCCCTCTTTATTGAATTGTCTCCCAGCTTTATTTTCTCTCCTCATTCTCTTCAATTAGTGTAAGTGATGTGGTTGTTCTGCACAAATGAGCATTGCTGTAAACAAACTAGGAAAGAAACAGATGACATACCAATAAACCAGAATGCTACTACTGGACCATAAGGAGAGTTAACCTCTCAATTACAGTATCCTTGGATATGCCATTCTCCACAGAGACATATATATAGATACTAGAAATAACTAAGTTTTCAGAGGCAGCTTACCTCCACAAATAAAGGAGATATAATTGCAGATAAACACTGAGACAAAGGACGCCTGGGGGTATCTTTTTCCTTTAAGAGAAAAAAGAGTGTCATCTGTAATAGAGTGAGTGCGATTAACATTTACATTGTAGCTTCAAAATAACTCTAACTGAGCCTGAGCTATGCATCCTCATTGCTTTCTATATTTGTTTCATAAAAAAACTAGTTCTAATACACATCTAAACATAAAAATGAGTATGTAAACATGCATACATATGAACTAATTCATGTAGTACATTACGTTTTAATACCATCTATCAAAGTATGTGTAAAGTGATTACATTATGTGTGGGTGTGAATTCAATATGAAGAATGATTAAAGATTAGGATTTTGTACGACAAAAGTGCATTACATAACAATGTTTCTCCAAGAATGTACAGTGAAGCTTACTAAAAATGAAAAGGTTCTGATCTTACTCCCAATGTCTTGACACACGCAGGTACAAAATGCTAAGTCAACCATAATAAAACATTTAAAAACAACATCACGTGTATTTACAAAAAATCAAACTGTAAGAATGAAAAAGTATTACAGGATGAAATCAATTTGATAAGAGCTGTGCAATATAAGCAACAACTAATCTACATAATTTAAAAGTCTTTTTGCAGATTTTTAAATATTTAAACTGTCAAAGGAGTATCTTAAGTGAAACAAACATTGAAAAAATGTTGGATGACTAAACTAGATTTGTATGTTTAGATGTAGATCTTTCAGCATTAAACATTAATACCTTATTACTTTCTAGTTCCTGTGGCTGGGCTGCTCCATTCTCTACATTCTTGGGGTCTTTTTCTCTGATTGTAAAGATCCAGTCCCCTGACTCACGACCGCCTGTGGCCTGGCCATCGGTTTCACTTTTAAAAAAAATACTAAGACATTTCAGAATTTTTCCTTTACTACATTAGTAATATTGATTTAGTAATGCCAAAATAAGCTTAAAACCTTCAGATTTGAGAGTGAATTTAGAACACCATGCTTCTCAGGCCAGTGAAAACAAGGCATGTGGTAAGAATGATTAGGTTGGGTCTTAAGTAAAGATTTTGTTTAAATATTGAACAAAGATGTTTTTCTGTATTAAATAAAGATTAAGGAGAAAGACATACGTTCATTTACTACCTCTGACAATGGTTTCCCAAACTGTATGACACCAATGATATTACTTTTTAGCAGTATAACAGATGCCAGCAGAGGGCTCCAAATTACTGTAAAGTTGGCAAAAGTTTTTGGAAAGTTGGAACACATAATTCAGTCAGTGCTCATTTAGCATTGTAGTAGGCTATGTAGAGAACCCAAATAAGAACGAAGTCAATGTCTTATTTATTTATTTAAATTTAAATAAATATGCCTCTCCAAATGTCTAGAGGCCCAAACATAATTATACAATCAATAAAATTAAATTAAACCTCAGCTGCATTAAAATCATCAGTTCCACAGTAACTCAGCCAACCACCAAGCCAATGCTCCCTTTAAGCTGCACAGCAGTGCATCTTAGGTGGCTGCAAGTGCAGCCAGCACCTACTCTGCCTGCCAGGCCCTCTTGTTGGAACTCATGGTGGGTCCTCTCCACACCACATAAAGCTTGGGGCCAGCAGGAAGGGTAAAGAGCTTAGTGGGGTGCAGGGGGAGAGGCAGACACTCCCAGCAGGTAGGAGGGCCTGGCCCACATAGGGTCCTGCTCTGCCTATTGGCCCAGGCGCTCCTTCTGGAACCCACAGAGGCTCCTCTCCGCACCACAGGAAGCCTGAGAGCAGGGAGGGTAAGGAGTGGAGGGGGAGGGAGCCCAGTCAGCCAGCATAGGGTCCCACTCCACGTGCCCGGCCCTCCTGCTGCAACACTTGGCAACTCCTCTCAGCCCAGCAGGGAGCTATAGTGCAGGAAGAGGGGGCCTGTGCAGTTGCTGCTGATGGGGTGGAGGTGCCCAGTTTGTACCCTCCTACATGCTCCAGGCTGTGAAGGCAACTCCCTCCCGGGGGAGGGAGAGGAGAGAAGATAAGTGGGATTGGATCTGGGGCAGAGAGGGAGGGGAGCAGGGCTCAAGCCAGCAGAGATGGGTAATGAGTGGTTGTGGGGAGGCAGAGAACTAGGAGTTCCACCAGTCTTGCAATTTTTGGGAGCCAGGAGTTAGAATCCTGCACAGATGATATCTTTGGGGAATTCTAAGATACTTATATTGGTGCCATAAGAAAAAGTATTGATTTAAATAGTTTACCAGTGGCATGGTCATAAGTCCTGTTATTCAGTACAGCACCGGAATATAAGATACATTTAAAATAACTTGGTATGATCTTAAACCTCTTCAACTCAATATTTAACAGAATGGAAGATGCCGTGACTAATTACAAACTGACTGGGCAATTTAAATGAACGGATTGGAGAGTCAAAGGTCTATCTAAACATGATGAAAATATGATATGCACAACTCAATACAAACGAAATCTAGAGGAAATGTTGCTCCTTCCTCTTAGTCATCTGGGAAACACATCCTCAGCCTTTTCTAAAAACCTTCTCAAAACAGATTATCTTTTGAAGCATGCCCCTAAAGTTGCCAAATTAGGCAATTTTTGGACCAAGGCAGGGAGCAAGTTCCAGAGTCTCAAAGCCCTCCCAGAGAAAGCCTTTCCAGCTGCTCTCAGAATGAGGGGATCTAGCTTGAGTGCTCCTGCTGACTACAGTTGTGGCAATATAACATGGGAAGAGAGGCACTCTCTTATTTAGGGCTTTATAGTTCATAAACACCTTAAACTCTACCCAGAGATCAATGGGCAGACAGTGCAGATCCTGCCATAGTGCCTTAATGGGGTCCAGAAGCTCTTTATTTCTCAGAAAGGCAATGCATGCTGGGCTCATTGCAGAAAAAAACCTCAAAGAGTTTGTGTGATTTCTCTGCAATGTCAGAGATTTCAATCTCCAGTGTGTCTACTATCCTCAAAAAGAGGTATTGAAAGGCCTTAAAATCATTTGGTGCTGGTGCCAGGGCCAAGGCAGATGCCTCCTCCTAGACTTCTTTAGGAGGTGAGGTGGAGCACTGGTGTCTCTGTACCTCGGATCCCTGCTCCTCCTGACAGTTGTACATCTGGGGTCTCACCAATGATGCTGTGGAAGAGGGTTATCTTCTCCTCTTCGGGGGTTGCACAGTTCCTTAGAGCTGTAGCCTGTTTTCCACAAGTAGTCCCAAAAGGGCCACAGTGGCGTCCCAAAAGGGCCACAGAGGGGATGGCCAGTATTCGGACTGCAGTTTACCTCTTGCGGAGAGGGGCTAAACCAAAGGCTACAGTGGGTCACAGTGGCAAGTGGATGAACTAGAGACAGCCGATTCCCCCAGAAGGGGGGAGAAAGCGGAGTGGAGCACAGCCAGAGGACCATGCCCAGAAGAGGATGCTGTGGTCTTAGAGGTGGAGTAGAAGTGATGGCAGTGAGACACCACTAGAGAAAGGCGCACCAGCAACCAAGAGCTAATTCTCAGCACAACCACCAAGAGGCGCCGAGGTGGTGAGTCCCACCCTGTCACTGCCCATGAGGAAATTAATAATTTTGTCTTCAGATTAGGGTTTGAATAGTATGCAGTAAATGAGACATGGAATCACACATTGAACAATTAGGGGAAAAAACAAGATATTGAACAGGTCAGAGAACCACAAACACAGATACATGTGGGACAGAGAAGACTGTTCATGACCATTACAAGATATTGTATCCTTGCTTTGCACTGTTCATGTTTTTCAAATAAGGTGTTAATACACATTGCTTCAAAGCTGTTAACAGTGACATGACAAATCTGCTGCCACCTTGCTCTATCATGGGCTGTTGGTTTCTAGTTGCTGTGGTCAACCTGACATGCTTTCAAGTTTGATTTCAGTGGGTCTTTATACTGTTTGTACTGGCCACCATGAGAAAGGTGTTTGTAGCTGACCATAAAATATAGCCTTGAGTATTCTCAAGTCCGCCATGCCAACGAGATGCCCAGACCAATCAGCTGAACTTTCAGAGCATGCTCTGAATGCCAGATATCCAACGATTAAGGACTTTGATATTGAGAATCCTGTCCAAGCATTTGACCATGTAGACAGACTGAAGACATTTTGAGACACTTACATTTACACTGAACAAGACGCGAGAAAGTGTACAGTATCAAAAAATCCTGCACTCGCAGAGAGATTGACTAAATGATTTCAGTTTGATATTTTTATTCTCTTTATAAAATCTTGAATATAAAATACAATTAGCTTTTTCAATATAAATTATTGGTTTAGAAGTACCCATCAAATGGCAGAATTTCTCAACTCAAATGACCTATTACCTATTATCTTCTCCTTTCCACCAATCACAAAAAGGAGGAAGGAACTAGTAATACTTTATCCTGTTCAGGTTCTTATACTACACTCATCATAGCAGCACGTGAATACCTTCACAGCAGCACTTGTAGAAAATTTATTCTCCATGAGTTCCCCTCTAACATCTTTCATGGCTTCAGTAGATGTACCTACAGTGCCACCGGGAGCAACTATTAATACCCTCTGTTCATGAGCCGAGCCAACCCAATTTTCTTTAGTTCTCCCTAAGGAAAGGAAGTCCCACTGAAAGGCATATTTCCTGAAGGCATTTCTAAAGGTTAAGACACCAGAAAATGATCCCCCTCCTTCTCTTTCTATACCTCAGAGTGAAGAAGCAGATTTCCATTAATCATCATGACCTTAAGTATATCAATTCCTATAGCTCTAATGACTTGTTGCCAATATTTGGAAGCCTTAATTGTGAACGTCCATACTTTAAAACTATGCATGTATCGAAATAAGATCTGGGGAAGTGCAAACCATGTCCCCAAAATCCCTAACAAATCATTCAGCAAAACCAAGAAAGATCAGACTTGATATTCCTGCTATTTCTAAGATAAGAAATAAACAGAACAGCACCCCTCCCCCTTTTTAAATTTCCTTTCAGGACCTCTTTAGACAAGATTATCAAAGAAGCATGAGAGAGCAAACCCTCATTTTTTGTCCTTTACAAGTCCCATTTATCTCTAGACGTCTTGGTTTCTTCATGATTTTTAAAACACCAGGAATGTACTTGCACATTCTTTAGCTTTCAGTTGCTGATACGTACTCTCAATCTTAACTTCAGGTTAATAGAGTTGGTTTAATTTAGTCATGAACATAATTTATTTTTTGTACTTTCTAGTATGACAGAAAACTGTGTGCTGAGCACTGTATGACTGAAACTAACAGTTTGAGATGCCAGAGCAGATGGAGCAAACTGTTTGCAACATGAAATATTACAAAACACACCCTTCCTCAACAAAAAAAAGTAGATATTTTATAATTAGTCTTCTTTCACCTTTCTGGGCTTGAAAGCCCTCAAAATATTTCAATTAAGTTTTTAACTTCACATGCCTGGTGAGCCCAATGTTTTTTAAATAAAGAACATCAGCTAACTAGACAAAATGATACACAACTACTTGAGAAAATTCCCCTCCTCTATTCCTGTGTTTACAATTATGTTATAGATTCAACAAACTTACGCATCCGATTCTTCAGAGCTGGAGTCATCCTGGCTCTGTTCAGACTTCCACCTCTTGTGCCTATCAATGAGTTCTGCCAGGTAGGATGTTTTCTTTGCATTTCGTATTATGAATTTGTGTTTCAAGAGCTCCTTTGCTGTTGGTCTCTTAAAAATAAAAATTAATTGTAAGCTACAGTCTAACTTTTTTTCCTTTATATTTGAGACAGTTGAGATGACTCTTATATCGTGATTTGAAAAACGAAAGAGGAAAACTCATGACAAATAATATAATCAGAAACTTTGATGGCTTAATACTAAACACAGAAACATAGAAATGTAGGGTGGATGGGACCTAAAGAGGTTATCTAGTCCAGACCAGCACCAAGCATACCTACAACCATTCCTGACAGGAGTTTGTCTAATCTGTTCTTCAAAACTTCTAATGACAGGTTGAAGCTTATTTCAATGCTTAACTATTCTTAAAGTTAGAAAGTTTTTCCTAATATCTAACCTATATCTCCTTTACAAGCTGATTACTTCTTGTCCTACCTTCACAACAACTGATCACCAGCAGTGCAAGTAGTCCAGTACGCCGTGCCAGCAAGCTATTTATAGCTGGTACGGTGTACCGGAAAGACACAGCAGCAGCCCAGCTGGAGGAGAGGGCCGGGGGTTCTGCTCCTTTCCCCGCTGGGAAAGGCAGCGGGGAAAGGAGAATGCCGGCAGCTCCTCCAGCTGCTGCCCCCACCTCCGGCCTCGCCCTCCACCGCCCCCGCCCTCCCGCCCTGTCTCCAGAGTTCTGCTCCTTTACCCGCTGCCCCTCCCAGCAGGGAAAGGAGCAGAACTCCCAGCTTCTCCTCCCCCACCCTTCCAGGCATGGAGCTGTGTCTCTGTCTGTGTACTACAGCAGCAGCAGCCCTACCAGACACATCTGCATCATCACAGTCAAGTTTGATTTTATCCCGAACACTAGCGATCGCATTGACAGAAATCTGTCCTTGAGAAAGCTAGGCTCTCTCTGAATCAGTCAATTAGGACTTCTATGAACTCTATCATCTGTGATGGGATAAGACAATTTTTCATAGTTCATGAGAAGACCCTGCTGCTAGAATAGGTAGAGGGAATATTCTAAACTTGATGCCAACTTCTCCTGGGTTCTGTCACATATCACTCAATTGTCCAGGCAGGGTAAATGTGTAAGAAGGGTGTCTTCTGCCTTAGTTGGAGTTGATACACGTAAGGCTTCTTTTAGGAGTTGGTTTATAAATTCCCAGGGACTTTAAGATAACCCTTGAGGGAAAGATGCGCTTCATCTGTTCTCTGGCTGAAGAGGACAATTCCCTCAAAAGGCAAGTCCTCTGTCATGACCAGTATGCCATGAGTAATCCCAAAGCCCACAGCCATGAGGCCCATTTCATACTAATGGCCTTTGCCATCAACGTTGCAGCCATACAGGAACCAGAGTCATCAGCACCAAACTATTGCTGCCGAGGTAACGTGGAGACTGTTGGTCCAGCTGGAGACTTTGCCAGTGTTGAGATGGCCGGAATCTATATTGTTGGTGCTGACTCTGCCAGTGCTTTCTTCACCATTCCACTGTCTGATCCCAGAGTGTGATGAATGCTCAAGGGAGTGCTGGCTGATGCTAGTTGATGCTGATTCTAACAGTCACTTCCGGGTCCAAGGTGACCCGCATGAACTGCTTAAATAAATGCATCTTCTGCATAGCATCCCTGGACTTACCGTGCAGGTCCTGGAGGAGAAGGACTTGCACACAAACCACTTATCCAAGATGTGGCTCTCTCCTAGGCAGAAAAGGCACTGACTGTGTTATCCTTAATGGAGATCAGTCCACTGCAGGACATGCAGAGTTTGAACTCAGAGTTTAGACTCCACCACAAGGAGTGCTGGTTGGTGTGAAGCACCAAACCCGGCTGAACGTGGCGGTGGGGATGGGGGAAGGAGAGTTGTGGACCAAATACTTTTCTTCTTCTTCAAATAGGTTGAAAAATCCTGGATTAAGGTCTCTGAAAACTAATCGGTCAGTCACTCTCTGGGTTCAATCTCACTGCCACGGGGTAGTAAGAGGGAACTGGGAAGAACCACGGCCATTCCCCTGTTTATGCCCTTGCATGGGAATACGAGGTGGTACAGGGTGTACACACAGACACTGCAATTCAAAAAAATCCAATCTCAAGCACATGAGCATATATGTTCCTACAATGGGATCTACACAGATAACAACGTCTGACTGACATGTCTACACTGACATATTCGAAGAACACTCATTCTCATCCAGTGAAATTGGGGTAATGTCTCTAGGGCTTGGAGATGCCTGAAAGAAAGTGTTGGGGTAAGTCAAAGATGAAGAATGAGGAAACAAAATAATAGATTTTAACAGACCTACTGGGGTCAACAGGGAACCACATAACTTTGCAGTATGAGAATTCAAGAAACATGGAAGTTAATACTGTCTATGAGAAACTCATAGAGGCTGTTAAAACACCTGTATCACAAAGACACTACGTAGTCACTTTTAACACATTATAGAAGAAACAGAGTACAAACTGCCTGTCTTTCCACAAAGCCAAAGCGCTTGAAGAAACAATATGAACACAAAGCAAAGGGGCTTTAGGGTAAAAAATAGGCAACCCAAGAAATCATTATGGAGTACTGGAGAACTTACCAGGAAGAAGGCAAAGTAACTAAACAGGATATACAGTACTGCCCTAAACAAAGCCAAAGCCCAAAGGACTGGCTAAGAGCTGAAGCCAGCCAAGATACCAGTTCTGACTCAAAGCTCCTTTGCTGAGTCACTGGCTATTGGTCTGTTTTTGTGAGTTATGGTAATTCCCCCCTTTTCACACTGGACACACAGACATAAGTGTTGGAAAATAGGCAATATGGCATATTCAGAATAAAATCTTTACATTTCCAATACCTTTATTTAGATTGTACTGAAGGTAATAGGTCCACCCATTACCCTTATTGTCCATGCCACTAACTGGATAATTCAGATGTCAAACACAAATAATTTTTCCTTGACTATTTTCATGTAAGCAGTTTGTCCACAGGCTTGTTTCTACCACAAATGCAAGATCCTTGTTAGACTTAATACAAGAGTTTAAACATGAGAAAAGATTCCGTTATGAAAGAGGTAAAACCAGACAGCACTGGGTAAGCAATAGGTTTCATGTTAATTAAAATGGTCAAACATTTTACTTGGTCTGAGTTTTCACAAAATTGTATTGAAAATAGTATCCTGATTTTCAAACTACTGCATCTGCTCCCATATGGTCTCTTCAATTTTTAGCAAAAATTAATTTAGGTTTTTTATTTCAGAATTTTCTTTTGATTTAGTTACGTATCTACTCTACACTAATTTGAACCTTGGTTATTAACCTCTTGATACTTTCCTTCCCTGAGTCTTACATTTACAAAAAGATGCTTTCCTTTCTGAAATCATTTCAAGAACTTTATAATAATTTGCATTAGTCCTGGGAAAAGGAGTATCTGAAGATCTACACACACACACACACACACACACTATAGACTCGAGCATTCCAAATACCAAAATTTGAGCTGATATATAGTGTCAGAATATTTAAGCTGATCTAAAATTTAGGGAAAAAAATCAAACCAAAGGCAGGTAAACTGCTTCATGCTAGTTTTGAGCTCTTTCCAGCTCATCACTTGGACTTCGTGTAAATTAATAAGGAAAGAAACTATTGCTGACTGACAAATACAACCTTTACATTAAAAAAAAAAAAAAAAAAAACAACCCGTCTCCCACTTTTCTGCAAAGATTTAACTAAATCAGATTTTCTTCAATATAATTTGCTCTGCACTGAGAGTCGACTATTCTGAATTTAAAAATAACATTCACATACAGTCCCAAATTTGAAAGTGAGCATACATATGTAAAAAAAATTTGGCCAGTATTTTCCTAAATCATTTTACAATGACTGTTTAAACAAATATTTTCTTAACAATAAACTTCTGTTTTGTCCTACACAGGGCCGGCTTCAGCTTTTTTGCCGCCTCAAGTGGCGGAAAAAAAAAAGAGAGAGAAACAAGAAAAACCCGATTGAGCTGCCACTGAAGACTGAAGCAGAGAGATTGAGCTGCTGCTGAAGTGCCGCCGAAGAGGAAGAGAGGGACTGAAGGACCCGCTGCTGAATTACCGCCGCAGACCCGGACGTGCTGCCCCAATAACGGACGGAGTGCCGCCCCTTTCTATTAGCCGCTCCAGGCACCTGCTTCCTTCGCTGGTGCCTGGAGCCGGCCCTGGTCCTACAGGGACCATTAGGAGGACAAGTTATTGACTCACTCTTACAGATAAACATAGGGGACTCTGCAGTACAAATTTGGTCAGGGGGCTCCCTAGACAAACACCCCTTTCTCCACACACAAATTACCTGCTTTTAATTAACAAAGTGCTCTAAACCACACATGCAAAGCTAGGTAGGCCTGGAAACTGCTTTGCAGCTAGAAGGACTTGAGCAGAGATACTGGTGCAAATTTGGGGTCACTTGATCAAGGGATTTAAGAGATACAGCTCCTTCAAACGCACAATGGACTTGAATGTTACATGGTTCTATGCTATGCAGTGCTGCTGAGTGCAAGAACTCAAATGCAGACTGTGATGCGTTGTCATCCCCAGAGTGCAGACTGAGAGCTGTTGGAACCATTGTGCCCCCTAACAAATCACTTGATTGGCCTCGCTCACACTGCTCTGCTGGTGTCTCAGCCAGCCTCTACAGGCCCTGTTATCACCCAACGCGATAGCAGGTGGTGCCACACACGCAACTGAGTTACCTGAGTTCTTTTTCCTAAGCCACTTATGAACAAACAGGAGACACCAGCCAATTTCCCAGCTCCCCAGCCTTGCACCCCTACTCGAGTATAAACCCAGAATTATACCATCTCGCACTGCACAAGGATCTATACAGCACAAGCTCATTAATATAGTTCGCTCTCCCCCCGGCTGTGGGGAAGATATGCAACAAGCCTGTGTTAACCAAGCTGAGATTTTCCCAAACATTTCACTCAAAACACACTGGTTAAGATAAAACATAAAACAAGTTTATTAACTACAGAAGGATAGATTTTAAGTGATTATAAGTGATAGCAAACAGATCAAAGAAGCTTACCTAGAAAATAAACAGAATGCAAGCTAAGTCTAATATATTAGATCGATGGGTGTGACGGTGCAGCCCCGCACCGTACTAGCCCCAACAGCGTCAGACCAGTAGCTCTGACTGAGAAAGTCCCGCCCCGTTTGTACTGGGCATGCTCCAAGTGCTCTGGGAGTATAAAAAGGAGGGAATTCAGCTCAGTCTGGGTGAGCAGCCGCAGGGGAAGAACCTAACCGGGAAGCTGCTGTGGAGGACCAGCCAACACTCTTGAAGTTGCTGGGAACGGAGGCTTCTACAGGCTGGCATAAACCCCTACTGCAGGAGGAACCTGGGGAGGCGATGGACCCAGAGACCCACAGAGAACTTTAGGATTCATGGGAGACCCCAACTCCCAAGCCGGTAGGAAGTGACCCAAGGGGGGGGCGACGGACTGGTACCTTGCCCCCAGTGAGCTTCAGCATGGTTCAGTAGGACCCCCCTGCTGAGCCAGTAGTAAGATCCTATTGACCTGCAACGAGGGCTTATTCTATGGACTCTGGCCACTAGGCCATGCTGCCCTGCGACCAGGGGCAGGTCTGTGGACTCTGGCCACTAGGCCGTGCTGCCCTGTAACGAGGGGCGTAAACCCTCACAATGGGGTTTGAATTAGCAATATCTCACCCTGATTGATACAAGCAGGCTTGCAGATTCTTATGGCACAACCTGCATCTGCCTTGCAGCTTAGGTTCCCCTCCCCTGTTCCAAGTCCTTTGTCTTCCACAGCTTCTTTCAGGTGTTGAGTTGTGGGGCAGTGAAGACAAATCATGATGCCACTCTCAATCTTATATAGTTTCTCTGTATGGCGGGAACCCTTTGTCCCAAACTAAATTCCCAGCCCAGTTTGTGGAAAAATACAGGTACCAAAATGGAGATTAGTATCATGTGATCTGGTCACATGCCCTTGCCTGCTCCCGATGAGTCAGAGCAGCCACTGTCCATAGGCTGTCTGCAGCATTGCCAGGAAGGCTCACCAGGTGGGGGATAAGCTTCTCCTAAGGCTGATTGTTTCCCTTAATGGCCCATTACCTTGAATAGGCCCTTCACAATCAGTTGTCTAGACTGGAAGCATCTTGCCTGGTGGCTGTCATCCAGTTGTAACCACATTTGAAATACAGATACATAGTCACTATTCATAACTTTAGATATAAAAAATGATACGTGCACACAAGTAGGATCATCACATTCAGCAAATCATAACTTTTTCATAGACACCTCACATGAAATATTTTGTAAAAGATTCATCATAATTATGTCATAATCATATAATGATGATACCACTATGATGAATATGGGGTGCAATGTCACACAGACAACACTGAGAGGTTGAGCACCATGCCAGTTTCAAGTCAGTTTTACCAAGTGTTCTAAAATTGAGACAATCAGATCTGTTTGAAATTTGGCATGTCAACATTTGTGTGTATTTGGGGGGGGGGGGTTGTTTTAGTAATCCTAACCTTGTTCCAATGTATATGTAACAGAACCTCTGCATTCTGAATTTTGGGAATTAAGCTCTCATGTTTTGAGAGGGCATAAACAATACCAGTCAGAACTGAACACCTATAAAGTCTTCTGTGTACAAATTTTACTCTGTGTGCAATATAAATCTGCTTGCAATTAAATTATTGTAATGTCACACAATAAGTCAAAATGAATATTTAGTGTGCAGCAAGATGAGGTGTAAATCTACAGCACATTAGTATGCTAGGCACTAATTGTTCATGTGGACCCTCCTGTGTGCATGAAAACTTTCCTAGTATATTCTAATTTACTCCCATTTGCTGTACAGTAACACTGTCCATACGGACAGTTAGCGTGTGGCACATTAGTCAACGTACACTCAAGCCTGAACATATAAAAAGAAACACTCAAAGCATTGCAGGGAACAGAGATCTCAGCACACGAGAAACAAAGAACTAAGAGCTTGCCACAAGTTTTTCTGTTCACTTTAAAAAAAAAACCAGCACTCTAGTGCGTAGTAAAACATATGAAAAAATGTTAGAAGTACTGTACTTTGAGGCTTTAAATCTAATTTATCTAAAAGTTTTCTTCACGGTGAAAGTCCTTTTTAGTATACCTGTACACACACACACAGAAAAAAATCTCTACATAACGGCTGTATTCCCAATTTAGGCCTTTTTGGAAGAATTCTATGTACTAAGCTCCACAATTCATACACATTTTAAATTACAAAATCTTTGTTGCTTTAGCTAGCAGTCAGTCATCACTATAAAATGTAATTCAGCTTTAAATAAAAATGAATTTCCTTTTAAATCTTGTCCTGACTCCCCATGCAGTAGATTTCTATTCTAAAATTTCTTGGTGTAAAAAGCTCCTTGCAAGGAATTCATGCAAAACACTTAAATGTTTTACTACATGTTATTTGTATGAAAAACAGAATATATTTGTAAAACTCACAAAGCTTGGCTCCTTGTTCAAGCAGGCCTCAACAAATTCTTTGAGGGGTTTACTGTAGTTTCCTTCCAGTGTCGGTGGATTGTTCTTTGGGATGAGGAATAAAACCTTCATCGGATGCAACGCTGAATGCGGTGGCTTTCCGTTTGCAAGTTCTATGGCTGTTATGCCTAATGACCAGATATCTGCCTGTAATAAAAACAATATTTACAGAGATTGGGGGGGGGGGAGAGAAAGAGGAACGAGGAAGAAAGAAACAGCTTATTTTACAACTTTCTTGCAAATTACTGCTTTCAAGAGCATGATTTATTTTTATCAAGAAACACTGGTTACCTTGTACCCACTTCCCCTATTCTGTGTCTCCTAGAAAAATATAGTAGTTTGAACAAAACACAGAATTAACTCATCTTATGTTTCATTTACTGAATGAAAATACTATCTTGTTAAAAATGACTGGAGTCTGAACCTCTTCTCTGTAACTCCAGGCTTCTACTCTTCATATAATATATACCTATTAGTCTCTTTTATTCAACAACCTACTGCATTCCAATGGAAGTTTTAAGTATGGGACACAATAATTGAATAAACTTTCTGGAGAAGGCCAAGATTACTTTCACATGGGTCAATCTGATTTTTGGAACAGTGCCCTTAAGGAAACAAACATATGATAGTTGCACCTGATTGACTAAGTATCACATCTGATTTGCATTTTATGTTATAATTAATAAAACATCACTTTACAATCATCATGTTTATTTAATTAATTTAAACTCCTATCCAAACCTGAGGCCATATACAAGGATTTAAAAAAGCAAAAATAAAAATCCTTAATACAACTAAGATATAAAGATTTTCAGCCAAGCTGCAATACAATATAGCCCATGTAATAATGTCAAAAGTTATAACCTGGTATGTCCACAATGATCAGCACATAAACCCATAACATATCCACACAAAAAGCCTACTATAGGAAATAAAACCCCAAAACTATCCCAAATCCTTCACCCACCACATCCTGGAAGAACAAATATGCCTTGCAGTATCTTCTGAAGATTAACAGATCCAGGCCTTGAGAGATCAAAGAGAAGAAGAACAGAGATCCATAGCTGAGGATTCCTTACAGCAGACAAGCTGCCAGGAACTCCCCCCGCCCTTTAAATCAGAGGACTGTACGCTCAAATGTCTCTGCTGACAACACAGCTTCACCCAGAGAAGCAATATTTCTGATTGTAAGGGCCCAAAACATGTAGGGCTCTGTAAGTCAAAATGCTTTAAATTCCATCCAGAAACTAATCTGAAGACCATGCAAGTCTCAGAGTACAAGGATAATATGCTCTTCACATGCAGCACACTTAATATGCAGCTTTCCTAAGTTTCAGATAGACCTTAAAGCGAGATCATGGTGTGAAAAGTGACCAACTATAAAAGAACTGTAGGCTTCCATACTGTGGGGGACTGACATCAATATTGATGCAAAAATATATTAATAAATTATAGATAGAACGTAGGTGAGGCAATATCTCTTATTGGACCATCTTCTAGTGGTGAGAGAGACAAGATTTGAGCTTACCCAGAGCTCTTCTTCAGAGAGACATCTCACCAACCTTGTCTCGCTAATATCTCTAATAACACAGCTACAACAAACACTGCATTAATAAATCAAATGTGTTGGGACTTTACCAAATAGTAAGATATAGCAACCAGTAGTTATAGCCAAGATGTTTGAAAACGTAACAATATGAGTGTATGTATGTTATAAAATGTTCAAGCTGACCAAAAGAATTGCAGGTGACAGAAAGCAGAAGCTCCTGCAATTCTTTTGGTCAGCTTCAACATTTTATAACATACATACATACACTCAGTTATATTTTCATGACTTAACTAGACCAGGGCATTCGTTATTTAGGAAAACACGTGATTGTGAAAAAAAAATGTAGGATTGTGTTATCAGAGCAAAAAATCTACATGTAAAGTGGCTTTTTTTGCCCTCCCAAGAAAAACTTCTAGGTAAACCTAGGCAAAAAATTCTAGAAATGTCCTCATTGAAGTGAATTTTATAATTTCTCTAAAAATTTCATTCAGAAAAGCTTCTAGGAAAAATGTGTTTAAGTTGGAAATGTGTTAAACCTACATATTCATGTTTTAAACTAAATGTAAAGTGCCCAACGTAATTTCCTAATATGATTGCTATGTACATGGTAAAAGACTTTATGTACAAACATGGAACCTAACTGTGTGTTTCAATCCTCTCCAGAGCAGATCCACACAGAGGAGGACAATCTACTACTGCTATTAATTACTCTACGAGTTCAAGTGGCAGATATCTATGTGATGGATCTGAACATAAGAACGGCCATACTGGGTCAGACCAAAGATCTATCTAGCCCAGATCTATCTAGCCCACCGATAGTGGCCAATGCCAGGTGCCCCAGAAGGAATGAACAGCACAGGTAATCATCAAGTGATCCATCCCGTCACCCATTCCCAACTTCCGGCAAACAGAGGCGAGGGACATCATCCCTGTCCATCCTGGCTAATAGCCATTGATGGGCCTATCCTTCATGAATTTATCTAGTTCTTTTTTGAACCCTGTTTGAAGCACGTCCTCTGGAATGGTGGTCGAAGCATAAAGGGGCATACAAATGTTTAGCATATCTGGCACGTAAATACCTTACAACACCAGCTACAACAGTGCCATGAAAACACCTGTTCTCACTTTCAGGTGACATTATAAGTAGGAAGCGGGCAGCATTATCTCCTGTAAATGTAAAACTTTTTCATGTTAATGATTGCCTGAACAAGAAGTAGGACTGAATGGACCTGTAGGCTCTAAAGTTTTACATTGCTTTATTTTTGAGTGCAGTTATGTTAAAAAAAAAAATCTACATTTGTAAATTGCACTGTTGTGATAAAGAGATTGCACTACAGTCCTTGTATGAGGTGAATTGAAAAATACTATTTTGTTGCAGTGCAAATATTAATAAAAAATAATATAAAGTGAGCACTGTACACTTTGTATTCTGTGTTGTAATTGAAATCAATATATTTGAAAATGTAGAAAACACACAAATATTTAAATAAATGGTATTCTATTATTGTTTAGCAGTGCGATTAAAACTATGAATAATCACGATTCTTTTTATCCTGTAGGGCTGTCATATGATTAAAAAAATTAATTAATTTGTTTTCATGTGGATTGAGGTACATGATGCAAAAAATTAATTATGAGCACCGAGCACCAACTTTTAAGACACACACAATTATTATCCACATACACAATTATAGATTTATTTGCAAATGGATTAATGGCATAATGTCTTTTTCTTTTTGTTATTTTTAGATACATCTTTTGTGGCTGCAAGGTATTTTTAGTGTATTTATTTTTTTAAGCAGGCTTTTAATTTTGTTTTTTATTTTGGGACCTTTTTTGTTACCGACGCCCTGTGGTTTATGGGTTTTATTGCTGTTTGAATAATAAGTCCAAAATAGGGGAAACCCATTTTATTTGTGCTTTTGACATCAGCAAGACAAATACAGTGATTTTCCTAGATTTTTTTTTAAATAGGTAAAATGTACCATTTTCTACCAGGATTGCATTTTTTTTATTTTTTTTTAGTCTGGGTGGAATTTTTTAAAATAATGCTTCTAATTTTTAATGGGAATATTCTACTCGTACCATCTTATATTATTGTCCTTTACCATATTAATAATTTACATTTGCATTAGCATGTATGCTACGGCCAAGGAAACATTACCCCGGAGGGCACCAACAGCCTGCAAGAGGCAAGGTTGGTCCTTTTTTTGGAATTGCCACCCTATCCTGTATGGAATTTAGCTGATTTAAGGATACCCTCAAGGGCGTTGATAAATTCAGAGGGGCAACGCCTAACATTTTATTTTATTTGCACTATTATGAACCCCCACCCGTGCGCCAATTGCTTTTAATATTATTTAATTGAACATTTTTTATTATAATTTTTTTCAGAACCTGGGGCTTTTAAAGTGCAGGGCAAAGGAACTTTCCAGTCCCCTTTTGTTACCACTTGCAGTTTTGCCTCCCCCAGACCTTTTCGACCAGTGTTTGGGGTTGAAAGGGATTGTTTCAGCCTAAAATGAACTGGCTTTTCTCCCGGAACTGTCTGCTTAGGGATTTCACTCCACAAGTGAATGCACTTGGGCTTAAACAACAGCCTGTCAGTTCCCACCCAGCAACAACTGAACCCATCTGCATAGCCTCGAATTCCTCCCACTAAAAAACCTGCTCCCCCACTAGCCTCTTATGCATACATGAGGATGGTGATGTTGCTACTGAAGTGGTAGGGATTCTCATAGTCGCCAGCATAGACCATTTGTAACCCAAAACATGATACATTGCTCATTCGTGCGCTAATATTTACTTTAAATTTAAGCCTTTTAATTTTACTGAAGTGGGATTATATTCGTTCAAGAGGCCTAAAAGAGTGATTTGTTCTTCCCGATGTTGTGATTAGCAGTAATGTCGAGGTATTGTTCACTACATTTTACTGTCATTTATGGGAAGTTTTCCTATGCCTCGAACACAACAGGTTTCGAATTCACATCACCAAACACCAGCAAAAGCAGCACACAGGAGTGCATTGTTTTCACAATCTTCTAGCATTCACACAGATAATAATTTAAAACACAAGACAAAACAAACTTTTTCCTTCCCTATATAGCAGGAGGTACATTCAACATTTAAGCTAAACTTATTAACTTTTACTTAAACCCATTTGGGTCTCAGTTTGTGTGTGTTTTGGTTTGTTTGTTTGTTGGGTTTTGGGGGGGGGCTTTTGAATTTTTAATTGTGCTTTGAGTACAGATCAGCAAATTTATTAGCCCTAGGTTTGCTTAGGGCTTGCTGGGGCTGGCCATATGGTCACTGTTAATTTTGCCAGTGAGTACATATTTTACTGGAAAGCGGGCAGTTTTTACTAACTAGTTTTAATAGCACAGGTGACAATTTCACCAGATATTTCCAATGCTGCAAAGCCCAAACTAGTGCCCAAACCCTTTTTTCACAGGAGGTGAATCCCCTGTTTTCCCTTACTGGAAGGTTAGGAGGCATATGCCACAAGGTAGAGCCCTGTACCATGGTTCTTTCTTAGACCTGGTCTACACTGGGGGGGGGGGGGGGGAGGAGGGGAATCTATCTAAGATACGCAACTTCA